TGCAAGACAAAAAAAAAGGTACAGTTGTCATAATTTATACTGGAAAGTCCAGCAGAAAAAATTATGAATTACTAATTGTTCTTACAGCTACATACTGACTTTCTTGAGAGGAACCTAAATAAATAATAAAATGTAGAAGCCTCCAGTTAATATTGGCTTAGAAACTGAATTTTCAGTTTTTTCTCATTCAGGATGGTCTTTAACTGAAAATTATTGAGAGGAAAAAGGAAAAGCATAATAGGATTTTTTTTTTTTTTCTTTAAGAAGCTGGGTGGTCTAAGGTGTATTATTTACCATCACAGTCTCTTTGTGTACAATAGGATTTGCTGAAAAAGACAAAGTGCAGCCAGTGTTCCAAATCTGTAGATTATTTTAGTCACTAATTGTCAATTTGGGAAGTTCCATTTTTGTCTTGGGCGAGTTCTGCCCTAAAATACCTGGTATTTCCAAATCCTGCTGAATGATTTAATGAACATCTTGATTAATTCCTGGGAGAGTAATGTGACTGTGGGGAATTAAAAGTTTCTGTGTCAACAGGCACAGTTGTTGACAAATTGTTGACAAAAATAGTTTTGCTGTGATTTAAGTTGCTCAGTGTTTGTTACTGACTTCCATGGCAGTGGGATAAAGCCCAATGTCGGTATACTCTGTAGGTAGGCTCCAGCTCTGCAATCAGACTTTCCTTTCCTGCACCCCACTACTGTTATGGTTAATTTGTTGTTAGAGAACCAGCACTTATTGGGACACAAGCTGTCTTGTTGTTCAAATGATTGCTAAAAGTTTTTGCTGATTTTAATTGCTCTGTTGAAGCATTTCAGGTTGAGATGTAGGTTAGTCCCTCAGGGCATGATCCAAAGTCAGTTGTATCCGTAAGAAGAGGTCAAGTGAGTGAAACACATTTTAAATCAAAGGTTTCTACAGACTTTCCTGAAACAGATAGTCTCACTTGATAGGGAGAGTGCACTGAGCCTAAAAGACAAGGCTGCTACCTCAGGGATGTGATCAAGTAGGCTGTGGTTACCTTCAACATGGTAAAATGCAAGGTACAAAAGTTGGGTGCTGCCATGTTTGTTGTTTTCTCTGGAATGGGAGGTCAACTCTGACTTTGGAATTAGTAACCTAAATGACCTACACATCTCATAGGGTAGCTGGCAGACATGGTCTGGGTTTGTGGGGTTTTTTTTCCCCAGATAATTTCCCAAACTTCTGAATTTAAATTCAGGTTGATATCACCAGCTCCATCAAACAAACAGAACCTCCAAAACAAATAGGACTTTTCTATCTTTCTTCTTTCCTAAGCATAAATCAGAATGCAACATGATTTCCCTTTCATAATACAAGTTCTGGCTGATGATTTGCCTCTTTGAACAAGCTGCTTCATACTCCTGGTGCACTGCAGTCTAAGTTTTCAGATTTGCCAGTTAATGAATGGCACAATAGCAAACAAAATAACAAATGCCCTCTTAGTGGTTCCATTTATTGATTCTTTCACTAATTCCCTATCTGAAGAAAACCATCCCACTCCAAGATTCCTAATAATGAAACCTGTAAGCATTTTACAGCTTCATGGACATGATTCTCTATCTGCCTCTCCCCAAGAAACAGTGAGCTTTGAATTGGCAGTGTAGCATTTTTACTACCATTTCTTCTGCAGAAATTTCTTCTCACAACTTTTCTAAGGTTGAGAGGTCTATTTCACACTAAAAGTAGGAAAAGCTGTTTCTTTGTTCACTCTGGTGATGGGATTCAGTGTTTGTTGCTCTTACCTAGAGCCTTCCATCTGCTGCTGTTGAGGCCAATATCAACACTCTCTGGTGGTATCAGTTACATCACATACAGCACTGCCGTGACTGAAAACCCAGAGACATAAAAAGGGCTCATTCTTCTCTGGTGTGGTATAAATCCTACTGACTTTGGGAACTTCTTTGCACTTCTCAGGATTGCACCTGCAGTTTAGCAAGAAAAAAAAAAAAATCTGTAGAATATCACGTGAAACCCGGTTTACTGAAAGGCAATAGCTTATTTTATAGCAAAGCAACATTCATTGATCTAGTTGGAATTAACAGATTTAATTTTGTCATCACTTTTTTTTTAAAAAACAAAACTACTTTGACTTTCAGAAAAAAAATATAAAACCAATATTTTACTACCTTCCAAACATTAGCTTTGATTTACTTTTGGAAGATAATGTGGTTGGTATGTTTTCTCAGGATAGCCTCTATCTATTTCTGTGTGTTGGTTTTAAATGTATCTGAATTAAAAGGGGTTTTAATCTCTGTCTCTTCTGTGAAATTAGATTGTACAAAACTAAATATGACTGCTCTTCATAGTTTGCTGTTCTAGCATAGCCATAAAATGTATCAATGTATGTGTATATATGAATAAATATTTGACGACAGACACTTTAGATTATATATTTAAGCAGCCATGTCAAAACTTCAGAGGTAGATGGCTTCAAAAGCAATGGTATAATCATAATACTCGCAAATTATTTTACAAAATCAAACCATGGCCTCAGCACAGATCTCATATCCTTACCAGTAGTCTGAAACACACCTTTTCTTTAAAGACCCCTGCTAAGGTTTGTTTTGCCATTGCTTCTTTAACCAAGGCGTGTTTGAATAATGACAACTACCTGTGGCTCAGTCTTCAGCAGCGATCTCCCAGCAGAGCTGCCCTGGTGCTGCAGTACCAGAGGCTCTGGGTTCCACCTCCATCGGTCTGAGCTCGTGTGGCGCTGGAGCCGCTCGTTCTGGGAGACTGAACGTTGCACAGCCAGTGTCGATGCTTCCCCCTGGGACTGCCTCACTCCTCAGAATTACTTTTCTTCACCTAATATATCTCCCATACACGTCCCACTGCATTTTGGTTTTGCCTGTTTATAACGGTACTGTAGGAATATCCATGGAATAAAAAGCTTATCCTACTGATTTGCAGTCCCAAAGGGAATTTACATTAGACGTGAAGTTGTTATTATTTACTGAAAAGTGGTGTTATCTTCTTTTCTTTATTATTATGATTCTACTCCTATGATACTATGATGTTTCATGTAAATTTTCATGTGCTGGCATGCCTACAAGTTAATAGTGTAATAGAATGCTCAGCTCTCAACATAAGAGTGTTTTTAAGGTGAATTGCATCACATATGCCATCTCTTTGCAGAAAGAATATGGGGTTTGGCAAAACTACCTGCTGAGCAACATAATGAGATTTTTGTACAAAGTACAAGTTATTGATTATTATTGTATTTTATTTTTCTATGATTTCCTAAGAGGCATTATCAGGTCTTACAGATGGGGTAAGCCTGTTTATTAAGATATTTATTAGCAAATAAAAGTTACAGTACTGGTGGTTATCTTTGAGTTAATGGTGTTTGTTTGGCCTTAAGTTACTAATATAACTTAGTAACAGTGAACACAGTGAAGCCTGTCATACATGATCATGCAAAAAAAAAACGCAGCTGCTTAATACAGGGTGGTGTACTAATAAAGATGGACAGGCAATATGCTCCAACACTTGAGATGCTTTGGGGTGGTGTTATTTTCTTCAGCTAAAAAATGCTCTTCTGTGCTTACCACTGAGCATTTATGCTCAAAAAGCACACACAGTTCACAGCATCAGGGAAAAAAAACTGTGCACATTAAGAGTTGCAAACAGCCGTGCTCTCTCCTTCTTGGGAAACACTGTGAATCTGAATTTTAAATGGCTTTTAATGCACTATTAAGATTCTGCAGTACTGTTCAGCCTCATGGTGATTCACTGAGCCATGCAACTCCCTCTCTAGTGTTTGTCAAAGCTTTCACTGACAAAAGCAGTTTTAAAACTGATCATATTATGTAAATAATGCCAGGGAAACACACGAGGATTCACAAAGAGGTGAATGCCATATACAATAACCAGACCCTACCTCAAAAAGCTTAAAGTTGTAATGAGTTTTTCATTGCATAAAATCACATGCATGCAATGCAAGACTGAACGGAAGTAGCTGTAGAGTAATAGGAAATGAGTGTCAGATGCCCACAGTCCATTACATCCTGCTTATTTTACATGGGAAGAGCTTTCTCACCAAGGACTGTCAGGTTTAACACAGTGTACATAATGAGGACAGAATGTTTCATTTTAGATCTGCCTTTAGATCTATTTAGAAATGCCTTTGCCATTCTGCATTCTCCACTAAATTCATCGGACCTACTGTTCAGATACGGACTGATTTCAAATAGAAACACCCTCCTCTACCATGTATATACCTCACAGCTTGATTAGCTTTTAGAAAGTGTTTCATCAGTGGGATGATGAAATTAATTAAATCTGTGGGATTAATGTCACCCGCCTTTTCCTTTAGTGGCCCATAATGCCACTGCAAAGGAATCTCATCTTTCAATCGGAACCTTCCTGATAGAGGAAATACAGCAGACCTTGAACCAATCTGACGGGACTATGCTACGCAACAAAAAAAAACCAAAATAAAATAAAATAAAATAAAATAAAATAAAATAAAATAAAAGTTCCGAAGTGTATTTGCAGCCTCTGTGCCTGGTCTGGACAGGCTGCCTTCCTCTTCGGAACGGGAGCTGCTGTCAACACCTCGGGTGGCCGTTCCTACTTAGGGGTTTCCTTCTGTGTTAATCGCAATCCTCAAGAGGATTTATCCAATCACTCTTGTTGCTGCTATTCAAGGAAGAGGGGCAGTGGTTGGAAACAAGCAATTCCAGAGGCGCTGGACAGGGAGAACGAAGGGAACGAACCTCAACCCTCCCCCGGCCCCCTCAGCCCCACTGCGGCCGGGGGCGTGGCTTCGGGCGGGCCCCGCCCCAAACCCCTCCCCGCGATTGGCCGGAACAGGCTGGGCGGGAGGGCCGGCGGGGCGGGATTGGTGGGACGGGGAGGGGGCGGGGCTCCGGTTACCTCGGCAACGGCGGCGGCGGCGCGCGGGCCCGGCCGGCGCCTCCCGGGCCGAGGTCGGTGCTGCGGCCGCGGGGACGCGAGGGCCGCGCCGGGGAGGGGGGACCTGGTGCCGGCCTTCCCGGGGGACCCACCCGGTGCCGCTCTGGGAGAGGAGCCCCTGGCCTGGGGGAAGAGACCCGCGGCCGCTGTCGGAGCGGCTCGAGGCCTAGTGGTGCTGACGGAAGGAAGGGAAGGCCGGCCCTGGGAGCTGCGATCCCGATCGCCCGGGCATTGTCCCGAATTAGGTCCTTGCACCCGGTGTGCCAGAGGCCGAGCCACGCGCAGAGCCGAGGTATTTGATTTACTTCTGGTTCTGCACAGAAAGGGGCGCAGGGCGGCAAAACCACCAAGCCAGCACGACCACTACCAAAGCTTTTCACTGTTTACACATTATAGCGAGCAAAGGCTTTAATGCTCGGTGACTGCAGGTCACCTAGTTCTCTTATTAATTAGTATCCTCCCTTCTTTTGGCTAATGATTTTCTGGTTTCCCATGCTAATTAGTCCGTATGCTCAGTCTTTCCCTTCTTTTGGATCGTAGACCATTAAAATATATCCGGCCCTAAACCTAAAACAAGTAAATTCTACTGAAAAAAAAAATTGTCTTTCTAACACGTGGACATCACTTAAAGCTTTTTTGTTGGCTGTTCTCTGTTTCATGGATTAAATCTCCTTTGTTGTTGATTAGGCTTGAAAATAGACAAAGATCAGACATGAAAGAACATCCTTTCTTAAGGAAAAAATCTTACAGAGTTTGCTGTTAAGCTCCTAGACCAGACTCTGGCTTAAGTAATTTTCAGAGGTGTTTGATATATGCTGTGTAGCATTGTAGGTAAAATATCAGCTGGCAAAAACGAGGGAAAAAAAGGGCACCTGTGCCAGCTGTAACTACTGTAACTCTTCACAGATGAGAAAAAACATAAAAATAGGGGCAGGGCAAGAAGCCAAGGGTAGGTTTCTTTCCCACTGCGTTCTTAAATAATGACTGTGCTAGCTGGTAGGAAAATTTGCTATAAAAACATGGCTCTAATTAAAATGTTGCCAGGAACTCTTGTGTATTTGGGGTTTTGGATTTAAAAGTGAAGCCCTAGAAGTATTTTTAGGGGCTTGTAGTTCTTCGTTTCATTTTAGGAGTGCCTACAATGTATTTTTTTGGCCCTATCTAGAATGTATAGATGATGCTTTTGATTGGATAAGAAAGGAATGTGTCTTGGAGCAGGTTTTTGTCAGGATAATTTATTAAATTAATAACAAAAGCTTTAATCACTGAGTTGTATATATGGATTAGAAAAGGAGTGAGGCATAAACCAAAGAAGGTTAGAATGAGAGACTTGCTATAACTAATGTTGGGGTTTTTTAACCTGGTAATAACTTTGTGTAGCTGCAATGTCGATCATGACGAGTCCTGAATCAAAATGCACCAGATGAAGCTCTAAAAAAGATCCATATATTAAGAGGAAAAATCATCCTTTAGTCAGAATGATTACTTATGTGACCTTATTCAACACGAAGTTTTAAAATCATTAAAAAGCAGTTAGCCATCATTTTGTAATCAGTTGAAATCAACTGAAAAAGTGTGATCAAAGATTTGTTTTTGATGGTTTTTTTTTTAACTTTTGCCCCTCCTGCTGTGATTTCCTGGGGTAATTAAGCTTGCAACCTGAGCTGTCCACTGCTGTGTCCACTGCTGTCCACTGCTTTTAATTTATTAAGAAAAAAAACAGCCTTCACCACTCCAGAAATCCTCTGACATTAATTACTTTATTATTCAAGGCATCTCAAAGGTTTTCAGCTGTCTGATTGCTGCAATTCTTTCTAGTGGAATTCATTCAGGACAGACAAGGGTTATCCTCTTTGCAGAGTGCGTTTAGCCAGGTATTGCAGGGCAACACGTGATGTAAGCTCCTTTGAATGTGCCACTGCCAGGTAACTTCAGCCAGTCTGTGAAACAGCAGAGGTTTGGCATCTCCCTGACGTGTGGGTGAATGTTTCGGTGCCTGTTAGATCTATTTTAATCAGTTTCTATTTATGGTGAATGAAGAGTTCCTAATTTATACATGTCAATATTGGCAAAACCTGTTAGAATTGGAGTTTGAGTTGAATCAACAGGGAGTGCTTTATTTAATGCAGGGTTCAGTAAATTATGTAGCAGGTGCTGAAGAAGGGAAATAGTGTTTTGTTGTCTGAATGATGGACTGCTGACAACTGGAGGTAAAGATCATGGCCCTCCTTTTGGTTTTGCTCAGTTTGGTGGGAGCCCTGGTGGTGCTGCAGTTGTGCCCCTGTTTGGGCTGGTCAGAACGATGGCAACATTTCCTGCCTGGTGAATCAAGGGCATTGTGTGATACAGACAGAGCTATAAACAGCCAGTCTACTTTGGTATCGAGGCCTCCTGGCTGTAATCAGCTTACCCTCCATGTGCTTATGTGCAGAGCCAGCCCCTGGCACAGTATTTGTGTAAGTTCCTGCTCACACCATCCTCTCCCAGGTGTGAGGCTGCTCAGCCCCATGCCCACCCTCCGTGCCAGCGCTGCCCTGCATGTAGCACTTTTCCAACAGCTCTGATTCCCTGAACAACCAGTGATCCCTGTGATTTCCAGCCAGAGCCATGGGATTGTTTGACAAGCTGGCAGGATGGCTTGGGCTGAAGAAAAAGGAGGTTCATGTCTTGTGCCTTGGCTTGGACAACAGCGGCAAAACAACAATCATCAATAAACTTAAACCTTCAAATGTAAGTAGCCTGCTTGGTTCACTGCTGGGTGTTTGTTTGGTCTGGGTTTGCATGCTATTGTACTGGATGAGCCCATGGAAAAGATGTGAAGAGCTTGTGGTTTAGTGAAACAAGTATATTTTAAGACTTTCCAACTAACTAAAACTAAGGGTAAGCATTCACACGCACATTATTTTCCAAAATAACCCCACTGTTAATGTGGCACACTTTTGTTAAGATCACCCAGTAAGGAAGGGTTTATGATGGCTGAAATCAGGATCTGAAACAGTCACTTAAATCACTTAAATAATTGCCACAGGATTGCAGTTACAAGTGATGTCGAATGTTTAGGATTAATACAATTGTACAAGAACTAATCATGTTTATTTTAATCTCTTCCTGAAAAATAATAAGTGCATAAGAGATAACAAAATAAGAAATGAAAAGGAAGATGCACATTTAAGCGTGACTTCACTGTTTTTAAAGCTGAATAATTTTTAAAATAAGTACCGCTAATATTTGCAGTTCATTCACCCAGTGAAAAGTGTTTAAGGCCACTAGAAGTGCATAATATTCTGAGCAAAAATGAGAGTAGGATCACCTTGTTTCTAGATATTTTTATGGGCTAGAAATAGATGAATTTTGGTCAGCATGTTCAAAGCCAAAGGTTGTGCATCTTGGTTATGTTAATAATTATTAATAATAATTATTATTATTAATTATTAATAATTATTATTAATAATATAATATATAATAGATTGTAATAATTAATTATGATAATAATTAATAATAATAATGTTATTGTTATTATTATTACTACTACTAATTTGCATTGCATTTTCCCTGATGAGTCCACTGGACATTTAAAAAGTGTGACATAGTGAAGAGTCTGCTACTCTTCCATTCCTGGCAATTATTCTTCCACTGAAAATTGAGTAGATTTATAAACAAAGTCTATAAACTGCTTGCTATCTGCTTCCAGTTGTTTGGTAGAAAGGCTACAATTTGTACCAGGCAAATTGTGTCTTTATGTAATTACTGAGACCTTTTTTGTAGAGGGTTCTTATGTCATGCCTTAAGCAGTAAAGGATTCCTAAATAAAGTTGAATGCAGACTTGAAGATTTATCACAATAATGGGCATTAGAGAAGCTCTCAGGGGATTTATATGAGTAGAATAAATGGAATTTATTTGTAATGAGAATTTATAGGAAGATAACTTTGCATCCAACTTGTGTAAGTCCTACCCTTGCAAGACATGCCAAATAGTCTAGCATGTGACAAATGTCATTAGGTCAAAGTTAATAAAACTGTTTATTTTTAGTAAGTTCAATGGACAGGTGATTTTGAGGGGTCTGGGCCAACCCAGTCTTCTTAAGAACTGCTGCTTTACCCCCAGAGCAATATATCAGGGCCTGGCAAATCCAAATGTTTTTCCATCTGTCTGCAGTTGCTTCTGCTGGACCTGCCTATGGATGGTGTTTGGAATAAGGGGCTCTATGAGTCTGTGCAAGGATTGCATGTCACTTTCTCAGACAGCTCTGTAATCTATGGGATGTGACCTTTCTTCCTGCTCAATATCGATGCTTCTTAGAGGAGCTATTCTTTTCCACCAACTTAGCTGAGAGGTTCCTTGACCAGCTCAGTAGTAAATCAGACAGATCTCTTAGCAGTGCTTTGTATTTTGACAATTCCAGTAGCATTCACTTTATTCTCCAAAAAAAACCAAAGCCTTTGATTCTAAATGCCTTTACTTTTCTGGGAACTAATATTGCACAGTTTGGGGCAAAAATAATTCTGTAATATATTCATGTTTCAAATATATTTTCGTGTTTGTGTTTTCTCATTTGATTGTAAAATCTGTGCTTTCTTTCCTTCAAAGGCTCAAACTCAGGACATCGTTCCAACAATAGGATTCAGTATAGAGAAATTCAAAACTTCAAGGTAGTATTTTCTGTCTTCATTAGCAGTAGTGGTTATTATACAATAGTTGCACTTAATTGTCTCTTTCAGTGGGTTTGTAACTGAGTATCATGTGTGGTGGTGTAATGACATGACACTGCAGTTTGTTGAAATGTAGTTTCACCACAAGACCTGATCATCTTCCAGAACTGAGTGTGTTACAATATAATGTGTGTTTTGCTGCTATAAAACTATTTTTTAAAAAATTAAATTTTTGTTTGTTTGTTTTATTGCAGCAGCATGTATAAATATTTGATCCCTGTCTGTTGAGAGTTTCAGAATAGGGCACTGTTACAGAGTGGAGAAGAGACAGCTGCTGAGGTGGCAGCCTGTATTCCACTCTCAGTCTGGTAACCTAAATTAAGCACTCTCACTGGACGTACTCTGAACAGATTGCAGTGTAATCTCATTAAATGCAAAAGGATGGCTACAGCATTAGCAATGCAAAGGTGGCAGGAGCAAAGGCCAGGAAACAGAGTAATAAGTCATTAGTTGAATGAATGTTAAGATTTAGATTAAGATTGTGGTGACAAGAGGATATTTCAAGGAGGCAGCATCATTTTGTTATTTTGTAGCCTTCACTGGATGTGAAGTGTGTGTTTTAGTGTGTGCAGTTAGTCTTCAAACCAAGCAGTGTGGCCTCACTGGGTGGGACATCTGCAAGAAAATTGTTTGTTCCTTGAGCTGGTAGTGAGACTGGGAGGTTTTGTATTTCTCTAAGAGCTTTTGCAACTGAGCTCTGTCTCAGTAAAGTACATCAGACAGGTTTGGGACTTCCTGTGTGAGAATGTAAATTAATTTCTATTGCTTTTTTTTTTATTCTGATGATGATGAGCTGTAAATACACCATGTAGAATGATTAAAAAGCCCAAAACAACCCCTAAAAAACCCACCCAAAACCTCAAACTCTACAAACTGACAAACCCACAACTCTATGTCTGGACATAGAGTAGAAAAGATGTCTGGAGAGCTTCCTTTTCCCAACCTCATTGTTTTGGTGTGGCCTCCACTTGGGGAGCTACTTAGGGCTACCCAAAAAAAGGACAGCCTAATTCTGAAGTCAGTGTTGCCTCTGTAAACATTTCAGGAGCAGATGAGAACTTTTTGTGGTGTTCAGTAAGTTGCCTTGCTGTATATAGTGTTTGGGTGAAATCTCACAGTGGCAAAGACAACTCTTTGTAGCTTGCTCATCTGAACTCACCTGTTTTTACCAAAATGTGATTTCTTTTTTTTCCTAAAGGTAGAATTTATATTTTTTTTTAAAAAAGCCTTTTATTTTGCATACATTTATACCTGTCTAGGGTATAGAATTTAACACAGGCCATGGATTTTAAGTCATGGTTCATCTGAACTTCATTTACTCATAAACAGTATTTGATACCAGCATGATAGAGAGACCAAATGGAACCTTATTTTGCAATTGATGTAACTTTAAATAATTGGTTTAGTTGTTTTATTCTTATAATAAACATATTTTCCATTGTGAAATATTTCTATAAATAAGACTGCAAAACTGAGTAGGATAATTTGAAGGCAGATAATGCAACCAGAGTTTCTTTGGGAATTTTTCTCAGTTGTTTTGAATTCAAATTGATCTGGCTTCTTTTTTTTTTTTTTTTTTTTTTTTTTGTCAGGGTAGCAAAGGAAATGGATGTGGTTTGGGTTTTGTTCTTTTTTTCTGGGCCTCATGCACTTCTTTTCTTTGCAGTTTGTCTTTCACAGTGTTTGATATGTCAGGTCAAGGGAAATACAGAGACCTCTGGGAACATTACTACAAGTAAGCCTATTTATTTTAAAGCATTGCTCTTCGTATTAATTGTTGTGTGAGTTATTTAGACAGAAGTATGATAATATCTAGTGGTTAGAAATGATTCAGAGAAGGCTTATACCTGATGTTTGACAGAAGGTTTATTCTGGATAAATAAAACTTTCTGTTGTAACAAATGAAAGTTTTTATTTGCTGTTATTCTGTGCTTTTGGGGACAACTTGGGGGAACATACTAGAGGTGAGATTTAAATGTTGAAACCTGAAAAACAATCCTGTAAGAAAGCTCAAGATCAGTTAGGTTTCCAATTTTTCTGTTCTTCTGTGAGTCAGCGACTTAAAACCTGCAAAATATTGGCTGATGGCTAAGATTTTTAGAGGTGAGGGAAATGAGCCTTAGAGAATAAGGCACATGTAACTAAGAACCTGAATGAGCATTCTTAATGTTATTTATTAAACAGGATACTCTTTGTACTTTATAACATTCTGGTATTGCCTTTTGGTAATAGATGGACACCATTCTCTGGTTTTGGAGCTTTTAGTGAAACTTAATCTTTATTTGCATTGTCTCATTGCTGTTCTGTAATGCCTGATCCTGATCTAGATAACATGAACAATACTAAATACTAAATACTAAATACTCCATGCAGAAGTAGCTTGGAGAAATTGAAGGGAGAAATTCTGAAGATTATAATATTGATTAAATATTAATATCAGTTGTGTTAGAGCTTAAATTGTTTAATAGGAGATTAATGCTTCCTCTCCTTCTTGTGCAAATTGTGTTAGCATTGAAAACATTTGGCCAGGAGATCTTCATTGTTCAAGACTGTTAGATTTGCATTTCAGTAACTGATGCCCTCAGGCTACTCTCAAAATGCTAGCAGAGTGCTTCATAAGCAAATAATTTTTATGATTTCTGTATTTAATGCAGTAACTTATCCCTTGTGGGGCATAAATGGCTTTTTCATCTTAACAATAACTCCCTAACAGCAGGGGAGTTTTTTAGGTTATGCTGACAGTGAAATATGCACTTGTATCCACCTCTGGACCTGATCCAGTGCAGTAGGGACATAATTAAGATTAACTTCTAAGAATAGTAGAAAATCAATAATTAGTATTAATTAAATAAAAATATTAATAAAACACATGCTGTTCAGTTTATAAAGTTAACTAATATTTAGTTTTGTAGGAAATGAACTTTGGGCAAGTGTCAAAGTAGTTGACTTGGAGTCCTTCAAGTCTGGGCTTTTCTTCTGTTTAGCTTGAAACTATCTTCTAGGTCATCCTCTAGGTACATTTATCTTAAATAATCCCAAAGTCATGTTGTGTCCCTATCCCTGTTACTTCTTTGTGAAGTTATTTTTTTGGTGGTAAATACATGCCAGTACTCTTGATTCCTCTGGTAAAACACTCTCTGCTCATGAAAATTGCTTAGGCATTTTCAGCTAGTATGCAAAAGCTTTATTTACTAAAGGTTCTGTACACCACAAAAGAATGGGCCTGTTCATACAGTCTTGGGCTGCTCAGGTTATTTCTGGTTTGCAGCAGGTATAGAACTGTTTCTTATCAAAATACAAAGATAGATGGTGCTGGAGGCTAAAGAATGTACTCATAATGGTCTCTTAGAGAAATGTAAAGTGAAGGAGAGGTGAATATCACATTAAAATATAAAGCAAATATACTTTTTGTGGGTGTTTTATAACAGGTGAATTATGAATTAGAGAGACTTTATTTGGTTTTCAAAACAAGTTTCAATCAATGGAACATCAAGTCATAAAATATCAGTAACATTCTGAAATAATGAGTTGAGTAGTTGCATATATGGTGTCACTGTGATCATACTGCCAGCAAAATGTCCTAATGATTTGAAATAGTTGAAAGTTTTCACCTGTTATTTGAAAAAAAAGAAAGATCCTCTTTATGCAGGATATGTAAAAATTAAAATTACCTGCGTATGCCTAGCTCTGGATATAAGTTTTTTATAAAAAGGTATTTGACCTTTCTCTAAATAAACTTTAGTACAGGAAATACAAAATTTCCATAAAGATCTGTCTTTATGTTTGTTTTTTTTTTTTGTGCCTGACCACAATGTCAAAATAGCATTTGGTTACATTTTGAGTTAATTTTTCAGTCAGGATAGTAAAATAAAGCTTTTCTAGAAGGTGTGTGGAGATTGAACCTTGTAGGGGCAGGTAACAACCTCATATATCTAAAAAAAATTATGCATGTTACCAAAAGATTGAATTTCAGAAATAAGACTGGGTTGAAATCTTAATGGTAAATAACAATGACAAAAATTAGAGGAAAAATCAGGTTTGTTTGGACTCTTTTCTTGGTTTTTCTTCTGAAGCCTTTTTTTATTTACAGTTTGAGAACCTATAATTTGCCTCTTTGCTCTTTTTATGTTATGCAGAGAAGGCCAAGCCATTATTTTTGTCATTGATAGCAGTGACAAATTAAGAATGGTTGTGGCCAAGGAAGAACTTGACACCCTTCTGAATCATCCAGGTGAGGAGGCTTTCTTCCACTTCTGTGTCCATATTTGTTATGTTGTCTTAAGAAAAGCCCTTTTCTGACACATTCTGAGTACTTTGCAAGTATTTTAACCATTCATGAATATTAGAACAATAATAGTCTTCAAAAACTTGGGTTTGTTTTTTTACCTATTCTCATTTAGAAATTGGTCACGCTTCAGCTTTCTGCACTGAGTTGGGTTGGTCTCTTATTAATCAATATAGATCAAAATTTACATTGTTTTGAAGGAGAATAGACTTTGAGTTGGAAGCTGGAGAGGCTTCTTGTGTTGACCAGGCAAAACTGTGTCTCCCTGTCTGTTTTTTCCATGAAGACAGCTAATTCCTTTAATGTAACATTTAACTTTCTTTTGTCGTCTTCATTATAATTTTTTATGCTTTAGCCAGAAATAAGGAGGGATATTTGCACCAGTCAGTTTCAATTCCCTATGGAAGAGGGTATTGAGAGGATTCATGATCAGGGTCTTGGTTTTAGGGGTTTGGTTTGGGATTTCTTATGTGACACTGCACCTTAATTAAGTTCTGGTATCAGTCAATTCTTTGCCTTTCCATATATCCAACATTACTGGGATGTGTCTGTAAGAAATACGCAATTTTGACTTTCAGCACTTTTGGTAGTTCTCTGCCTAACCAGAATATAGAACTACATCTAGGAAGTTTAGAGGGGAAATAATCCTGTGATTCCTTAATTATTTATTAAACTGATAGAACCTTAACTTGTGGGATTCCCATGCTGAAAATAAGAAAGAAAAAGCTGACTTGCATTTCTAAGAAAAGCAATGTGTGATAGGGACTAATATGTTCCCATGACTTTGTTTTCCATGAAGACTGTATGTAACACTTTAATTCATCAACAAAGATGCTGGAGCTGACTGGGCCTTGTTATTCTCATTCTCTAATTTCTCATTCAAGGGTATGGGCTACTTCAAATGCAGACACTGAAAAGATAATGTTACAAAAGTCACAGGGAGGATGAGGTGAGCCAAAGGCTGCAGGTGGATTACACAGACGCCAGGGCACTTTGTACCAAGTCAGGAATTAACTGCAGCACTAAAAGCCAATTCTGTTGGTAAAGAGGAACCACACACAGCCAAGGGTTAGAGGCAAAGCTGCTGGAAGTTACTGGTTTAATAGAGGGCAGGAGGCTGAAAATGTTTAGATGGAATAGAAGCGACCTTAAGTGGGGCTTTTCATTTAGGCATTAATAGGTCACTAATGCTGACCTAGCAGGTCAGTGCTGTTCAGTTGTTCATGAATTTGATGAATTTGTGTCTTCAAGTTCAAAAGACCAGGCTCTGGCCACTGAGCACACAACCAGGAGACAGCAATTGTGGATTTCTGTCTTGCAGTGGTTTAGCTTCAACACAGCAACAGTGTTACTGATTTATCAGTTCTGATATTTCACATCTAAGAGAACCAAAGAGCTGAAAAAGTTCTTCTAGGATAATGTTCAAAGTAGCTGTTAGGTGAATCCATATATAACTGGTTTGCTATATCAGTATTTTTTTTTTGTATTAGTGTTCTGCCTTTCTTGCTGAATGCTCTACTTTCTCCTAGTCTATGCTTCTGTCTGTGTCATCCTCCTGGAGTGGTTTAAATGTACATGCTTACCTAAGTTTGAAATGAAATCTAATCAATTCCTGTCTCTGAAAATCTTAGCAACCCCACAGTAAAACAGTTCCCTGTCTCTTTGCCAGGCTTTGCCTGAAGGAAAGGGAAGGGAATGTGTCCTGTGAAGCATTAATGGAGTTAGAAGTTCTACTAGGTGGGACTTTTGTGAATCAGAGCTATAAATTATTTTTACTTACATTAATGGACAATGCCCTCTTCAATTAACAGCTTTAATGATAGCTGTATCATATTTTGGTTTTTTACTAAAATTTCATTCTTCAGCACTTTGAAAGATGGTACCTGTAGGTTACCTAGATTAGATGATGACTCTTGGGTCACTTCACCTCCAGCACATGCTTCTAAACTAAACTGAAATTCTTGTAAACTTGAAATTCTTTGTGTAAAATTGCACATCACGCACTTAATGTCTGGAATATTTTTTAACGTGTTACTTCATAGCCACTTGCAGCTAGGAAGTTTTGCTTTCCACTAGTAACTGTGAAAAGTGTGCACATTAGGAAATAATACAGATTTTTGTGACCATGACTTTATGTAGCAAATATCTTTGGGTGTGCATTATGAGTCTGGGTGGGTAGGTTGTGCCCCTTTCTAATTGTTTAGGAAAAGACTGGAAACTCCTTGATTAACTTGGCTGTTTGCATATGTGATGTCAGCTAATTTATGTAGTTTTAATTTACCCATAACCTGCAACCTGTGGGTACATGGGTTCATTTAGTTATACTGTAAATTAATATAGAAGTTTCAGTCAGGAAACTCAATAGCTGTCCAACTGTGGAATCAAAACAGACAGAATTATACTGTGCTTTTATTTTGAGGCCTTTGGCTCGTGTTTATGGATATCAGAGGGCGAAAGAGATCCAAATAGGGTAAATAGTTTGTGAAAATGGTCAGTGTTTTGATCAGCACTTATCATTTGTGAATGAATATGGACAGGCAGTGTTATCTCCACAGATTCTGTGGAAAGATTTAATAGGAAGGTGGAAAAGAACATAATTGGGAAAATTCAAACCATTTCAGCACTGAGAGTTTGTTGGGATTTGGGGGGTTTTTATCGTCTTCCTGCCCATTGGCAGGGGCAGATGGCTTATGTTTGACATTTTAAAATAAATTCTTACCTAGTTCCCTGTGTGAAATAACATTTTCTTTCTACTGTTTTGAAAAGAGCCTGTGTAGCAATTTTCATTGAGATGGTAGAATGTAAGTTCATTTCCTATCAAGCACTGACGGATAGACTAAAACCTAGATTTTCTCTAATTCTGGATATCATCCTTTGTATAAATAAGATGAAAAACTCTGAGAGTTAGTCTTGGTGCTGACAATTTTTTGGCAGTGTTACATCTGTAATTTTGAAAAGACTATACTTTGCTTCCTTTCAATCACCATATAATTTTTTAGGGCAATCTGTGAGGTTTAAGCTCGTCTATGTGTAAGTATCCCAGAAACTACCAGAGTACTTTGGTCTGTAGTTCTGTCTGCTGCCTGCAGGAGCTTCTGGAGAAGTCCTTCAAGGGAAGGTAGAATAAAGGATGTCCAGTTATGTGCATTTTTTTCCAATTTTATAAATTCTTTGAAGTAATGGATGCTTTCTAGGACTCTAAAGGATAATTCAGACTACCCTTCTCAACTGTTGTTGTGACATTATGAATGAACGCAAGTGATTTTTTTTCCATCCATTTTATACATCAGTCCTCACTAAGCAGAGATGTGCAGTGTTTGTAGGCAGTGGTTTGATCTCTTGTTCCTCAGCTTCACCAGCAATTCCTATCTCCAGGTTGAAGTGTAGGTATAAGGTAGGGGGAGAGGGGGTGGAAGATTCCAAAGCCTGCAAGGAGATTTGTGAGCATTCTGGAAGCATGCAGCAGAGGCCAGGTGACCCAACAGTGTGTGCATCTTGGTAGGATGCAACCTTCAGAGAATTTGCAGCTACAGGTGAGCAAAATACCTTCCTGTGCTGTTTGCACCTTGTTACATGCAGAGATTAATGAGTGTTGCCTCATGTCCTGAGGGTTCCGTCTCTGCTCATGCCTAGATATTAAGCACCGTCGACTGCCTATTCTCTTCTTTGCTAACAAGATGGACCTCAGGGATGCAGTGTCATCTGTGAAAGTGTCTCAGTTGCTGTCCTTAGAAAACATCAAAGACAAGCCCTGGCATATCTGGTAAGGTTCTCTTTTTCTATCCATTTATTTGCATTACTTTGTGCATTCCTATGTTAGCCTTGTTGTGCCACTCACTACTATATAAAATAAATGGAGTAGATAAAAGACAGATTCCACTTGTGAAACAGTAGTAATTTTAAAATACTTAACGGTGAAACTTACTTTAAATGTACAGTGCATTCATTTAGACTGTGTCTTTAAAGTTTTCCCAGCAGAACTGTTAGCCAAGTAAAGGAATGCAGGATTTCCAGTGAAATCAGAAAGCAGAGTTGATATGAGAAGAATGGTTGCCATTATATTTTGCTGGGAAATGGAGCAGAATTGTTATCAGAGTGCTTCTGTTAGATTACCTTGCAGGATTGAGAATATCAGTAATAAAACCTTTGGAGGTTTTTTCTACTCTAGAGATGCTTCAGTAAATTGTTGTTGAAAGGCCCTGTAGTAAACTGTTCTCTTCTGAATATAGAGGGATACTGTACTCTGTACCCTGTCATGTTTGAATGGGTTTTTAGTTGTAGAAGCTAGTATTTTCTTCCTGAAGGATCTAAGATTTACTTAGTGCAGGTGTTCACAAAGAAAAAACTCTCCTTTTATCAGAAGTGCTTTATAGAAGTGGGCTTTTTGTCCTATTGAAGTCATCAGCTGTTATAAATAAAAGTGAAATCAGCAGCTAAATGCTGCTGAAAGCTACAATTTTCATTTAAGGACCTTTAATGTTAAACTTGATTACCTGGACATAGTTTTTGTCCAAAAATCATACTCATGAATTCCCATGTTTCTTGGAAAATCATTTTATAGGGAGCTGCAGTTACAGTCCAGATTTACTGCTGGGCTGCTTTTCATGAATTGAAGAATGAAGAGCATTTAAACAGCTATCCCCCAGTGATTCAGAAGGTGCATTTACACTGCTCTCAGCATAGCAGAATAGTTTTATACATTAACAGACACGCCTGGGGTTGCTGTTACAATGAAGTGTGTACATACACACATAATTCCTCCTTCCAGTACTCCAGCATTCTCACTGTGTGTAGGAACTGTGTGGAGGACATTTGGGCTTGATCATCTTGAAGGTCTTTTCCAGGCTAAATGATTCCATGATTCATGGCTGCTGTTGGAAGGAGTAAACATCTTTCACAGTGTTGTCTGAGGAAGGAGGTGCTGCAGAACAATGTGTCTGCCCCATGTGGGAGCTCTCCCAGAGCCCCCTGTGTTCTAGGAATGATTGTGCCTTGAAACTGGAATTAAAATAGATCACATTGTGAAATGGTGTTTCCCTATGGGGAAGGTACCATATATCATTTGAGGAGCAGTCTTCTCCATGGGAGGAAGACTTAAGGAATGTGTACCTGATGCTACATTGCAATTATGTAAATTACAAGTTTAGTGATGACTCACCTAAAACTGGTATTTTTACAATGTTTTTGAAATTTGATTTGTTTCTTTCAGTGCCAGTGATGCTCTTAAAGGAGAAGGATTACAAGAAGGTGTGGACTGGCTCCAAGGTATATCTTATGTAATTCTCTTGCTCTGTTTTCATTCTGTTAAACTCTTTCATTTTGTAAGGTTTTTTTCTTTATTATTTCCTTTGTTTTCTTTCTGTCCATTTCTGCTGTCAGATCAAATTACACAGTGAGTACTAAAGCTCTATCTTGTATTTGTCTTTTATTTACCTCCTTAGAGTACACAAAACATCATGTGGGCTTCCCTGACCAAAGTGTGTATTATGAAATACTAATGCACACTCTTGCAAACAGTGTAGCACTTTCATTTAAGCAATACCAGCTCCCGCACTTCAGTTTCTGATTGTGATAGCTCAGTTTCTTCTTTAATTTATTCTTAATATCCTGTCCCTGTTGTACATAACTTAATGTTATGTATCAAGAAATGGTGAAAGAAAGTAAGCCAAGTAGGCAGACAGATACACTGGTTATAATTATACACCTTCAGCTCTTTAATCCAGAGCCAAAAGAACTTCTTACACTATAACGATTATAGGACATGCAGACACTCATAACTGCATGGAAAATATCAGATCCAGCTTGGATGATGTCTGACATCCAGCATCCTTAATTACAAACTTGGTACAGATGTCGTGTCTCCTCCTGTTGTGTGTTGGTAAGGCTCTGGTGTCTCTTGTGCTCCTGCTCAATGTTTAGATTAGTGAAGTGTGGCATCGTTTTGGCAGACTGATATCCCAGTTTAGCTCCCTGACTGGCCTTGATGGTGCTGTGAAGTGCTTCGGGTGGTGCGGGCTCAGCTGAACTGCAGCAGCCGCCTGTGCTGTGCCCCGCTGGCCAGCGGGTGTCAGCGCTGGCCCGGGGACAGAGCCTCCTTCCGAAAGGGTAACAGCCAGCCCTGGCCCGGGTTACCTCATCCCCGCTGCTCTGGGGACACCAGACTGCCCTTTCTGCTTAGACTCGTCCTGCTGACTAGAAAAAGACGGTTTGTTTTACCGAGGTATTGTAAAGTACAAAAACATTCGGTCATGTTTTCAGAGGGAGGGCTGCTTGCCAAAACTAGCCTTCAGAAAAAGATTTATTGCCTTACAGAGGACCAGTGATGTTTCCTCCACCAGCTAAAATAATTCTAGGGTGGGAACCAGCATCTTGGCATGGGGTTTCCTTCTCTCCTATATCCTATCATCATAGAGGCAGATTCCAAATCATAATTTTTCCTAATTTCAGGCATAGTTCTGGCTTAGTACATGTTTTCTTGCTGTGTTCAGGGTCTCTGCTTCTCTTGGAGGAACCTTTAGAGTTTCAATCCAAATTTTAGGTTTGTACATAGATTCATTCTACTTAAAAGGATCTCAAATACTTGTGCAAATATTTTCTGACAAAATATTTAAGTTATATATGTAGATTTTTTTTAAGCACAGCAAGCAGATGCTTCTGCTGTCACTCACATAGCTCTTCATAGCTCTTCACTTCTTATGGGGTGTTAAACTTCTTAATTTTCTGAGCTGAAAATCCTCATGGATGGATTCTATCTGAAAATTTCCTTTAACTCCCTGGTTCAGTGAATCCAAAAGCTTAGGAGGGGTTGAGTTTAAACTGTACTGTTACCTAAGCACACGTAGTTTGGCATTTATATATTTAAAAGGCTGAATACTTTGATATTTCAAGGACAGATTTTTACTCTTGATTCTCCTCATTCCTAGAGCACTAGATGGAAATATTTGGAACAGCTCTGTAGTTTTGGTAGTCCCTAAATCACAGCCTGGGGATGCCATAAAATTCAGGGGAGGAAATGACACCTGGTGAATGAGTGCACAGTTCTTGTCAGCAGCCAAGCTTTCCTTTGTTTCCCTTTCCAGACCCATTTCACAATTAGGGTGGCAGGGACAGAAAGATTTTTGGTTTCTTATTCCTAGTGAAGGCTGAGTTTGCTGTTTTCCTGTTCTGTAATGGTTGTAATAGTTGTTTTTGCAACTGCACATCCTCTGTAGGGTAAAATAAACCTGTTTTTACATTTTGTAATGGGATGCTGGATGCTTTTGGTAACCAAGAAAATGTTTGAAGTGAGTTGAGAAGTGGCAATCAGGCAGCAATATGGAGAAATGTGTCTACTGAGAGCAAAGTTTTCATGAGTTATTCAAAACCAAACTTTAAATCTTTGGCTGTTGGGCAGTTCATGTTCAGTTAAGTGGAATCCAAAATGTGTACAAGGAATTGAAATGCACGCTTCATAAAGCAATCTTCCGGGTCTTATTGTCATCAAAGTGATCTTATAAGCCTGGAGATGATAAAAATTTAATTAGGTAGAAGAGTCTCCCTGCTTAATTAGCAAGATTTGGGGAAAACAACTTGGCTGTACAGGAATTTCAGAAGTGGGTGAGAGAGCAAGTTGAAAACAACTCTGCGTTGTCCCCCATTCTTGTAACTGCACCAAAATACCTAGATCTATTTTATGATTTCAAAAAGCAAAATGCAGCAAGAATTCATCTTGTGCTAAACTAGATGTTTATTTTTATTCACAGGTCAGATGCAAGCAATGAAGACATGAGAGATAAATAAAGGATCTATGGGGTTCTTTTGTACTCTGTCAGTAGGTGAACAAGTTCCTTGGAAAGGAAGAATGATTTGAAGAAGATGAACAGTTCAGCTAAAATATCCTGTATTGACTTGTTTCATTTTAGTATCTCTTCCATGAAAACTGAATGTAGACAGCCTAGCACCTCAGGTATGCGCATTAATGAATTAAATCTTGTGACTGGAGAGCATATACAAAAATAAAAAAACAAAAATATTTGTGTTATTAATAAACATCTTTGTTCATTTGAGGTTTAGGTGATAATTTGCCATCAGGAAATTCCCCTCTGTTTTTTGGGGGGACTCCTTTTGAGCAAATGGGAGTATTTATTTTCCAGAGAAAGAATAATCAATACTTCCTGAAATCCAGCTACGTAAGATACCTACTGATTTTAGGTGCCCAGTCTTAGGCATTAGTGCCATTTTTTTATATTAAAGTTTGACACTGGGTTTTTATCATCCATCTCTAATAGACTTCTATAAGAATATTTTGATTAAAGATACAAGGATTCAGTTGTTCAGTGTATTTGGTACAGATGATTGCAGATGTTTATAAGAAATTGCTTTTAATGAAATGTTATGATTTGTTTTTGTGATTATGCCATGGTTATATTTGCATTCCCATCAATAAAACTTAAAATATATGACATGCCCTGATTGGGTTTTTTAACTTTAATATGTTCATTAATAATCTTCACATCCTAGAGATTTTTTGTTTTCTATTAGTTTCATTTGGAATTTGTTTATCCATATTCAAGTGGATATAGCAATGTATATGTAATAAAATGGTATCTCTGTTGCCAAGGTTTTTTTAATTAATTGCATATTTTTTTTACGCTACCTAATCAACTAGACTGCTCTTCACATACCTAAGGAGCATAAGAGTCACTGGATGGGTCAGACTGGAAGGGACCAGGGTGGGGTCATCTGGCCCAACCTCCCTGCTAAGGTAGGATAGGACCATCCCAGAGCACATGGAACAGGATTGAATCCAGGTGGTTCTGGAATATGCCCAGTGAGGGAGACTCCACACCCACTCTGGACAATCTGTTCCAGTGCTTGGTCACTGCACAGTAAAGTTCTTCCTCATGTCCAGGCAGAATTTCCTGTGCATCTGTTTCTTGCAAGTTGTATTTCAAACACACAGTTAAGGGACAGCTCACTGGTTTACTAGATCATTATTACGAAGTGTGTTATATACTTCTGTTGTCTATAAAGACTGTTTTACTTTCAAAAATAAATTTAAAAAACTTTCTGGCTCCAAAGATGTGCCATAGCTAACAAATTAAGAACTCTGTTTTTGTTCTGCCCTCTCTTCCCTTTCAATCCCTCTGCCCTCATTCAGGAAAGAGCAGACTGACCCTGGCAGTGCTGAAGACTCCATTTAACTCAGTGATTACCTGATCCCTGTGGGACATGTAATATGCAGCTCTTGCAAAAGCTTCCCCCCACACCCATTAGCATATAAAACACACAAATGTTCTGTCAGCATGCCTTCTAGGCCTCACTTCACAGAGGAATATTTGGAGCAAAGGGAGCTGAAATGGGAGAACAGTGTCATGTACTCTCATTTATTAAATAGTTAAATTTAACTCCCCTGCTTTGCCAGAGGAAAACTCACTGTAAGAAATCTTTCTTACACGATGCTGTGGTTCTTACAGTTCGGTTTGTCATGGAAGTATGTTCGTGTCTTTTTCTGTGACAGTGTTGGCCTTTTGTCAACTCTGAATCTAAGTATCTATACAAAAATCAAGTACGAAGGAGGAACAGTAATATATATAATTCAGAGAAGTTTTCCTCTGAATTGTGGGCAGATAATTTTCTGGTTTACTTTGCTTTGGATAATACAGTAATTAAAATAATGGATTGGAAGGGACCTTAAAGATCACTGAGTTCCATCCCCTGCCTTCCTTGGACAAGGGACACCTTCCACCAGCCCAGGTTGCTCAGAGCTCCATCCAGCCTGGCCTTGAACAATTCCAGGGGTGGGGAGACCACAAATTCCTTGAGGCACTGCCAGTGCCTCACCACGCTCTCAGTAAAGAATTTCTTCCTAATATCTAATCTGAAACTATCCTCTTGAAAATTATACTTGTAAAACTGTTTTGCTGTGTATATTTTGTAATTATTGTGGTTCACTTATATGTCTTATTTAAATGAAACATTTAATTTTAAGTTAACAGTTTATTTTCTCACAAAGAAAATGTAACTTCTTCCATAAAATCCATCTGTATTTCTGACAGAACCAACTCAGTGTTTTGTGCTGTTGCTTCTGTGCACACTGCCCACTTACATATTTATTAATTTCCTTTAAATATGCCTGGTCAGGCTTTAGACTAGCATTTTCAGCTGAAATATGGTGCACTTGTTTTCACATGCAAAGTGTTGCCTTCTAGGTCTCTTTACTGTCATTCAGGTAAATGTGTAAATCCTAATTTTCCTAGCTGTGCCTCTCTACTGCAGAGAGCACCAGTCCATGGGAGCCTTGTGTTTAACTACCACTTGCAGCTGTGCTGAGAGCCTGCATGGCCTTAACACTCCTGGGCAATTTCACATGAAGCCAGTGCAGCTCCAAGTGTGAGGATGTAAATGTAATGGAGCCTCCTTTTAACCTCAGCCCTCTAACTGTAATTTCCTTGGGGTGTTTTATTTACTAATATGAGAGATAAGCTGCTGTAAAAGACCAGACATAACAGCCCAGCTTGGTTGTCTGCAGACAGGCATTCTGATGTGGTAATATGTGGAATGGTAGCGTTGCACTTCAGAGCTTCTGTAAAACAGCTGTGCAACTGTTTTGGAAAGCAGCTTATCTCTTAAGCTTTAACTAGGAAATACCATTTTGTTGGTAATAAGTAGAAGTAACGCTGATTCAAAATGCTTGACCTTAAAAGCAAACATTTATTAAGCCAAGAAACGGTGTTTAATCTCAAAAGGGGTGGGGATGGGGGGAGTTTTTGTTGAAGTTTTACTTGGTTTTGAAGTTTTACTTGGTTGGAAAATCACTCTTTTTATGATTAATACCTGTCATCCATTTATTTTATTCTTTCTGGCCTGCCTCATTCCCACTTTACAGAAATCCTTACAAATATTGATCCTCAACTTTTTGGTTTGCTTCTTTTAACTTTTGCTGAGTACTCTACTAGTGAAACTTTGCAGCTCTCTTCCCTGTTGTTTTGGTTTCGGGTAGTTTTTTTTGAGAAGCAAAATAGATAATGAGAGAAAGTCACAGTATACAGCACTAAAAAGGCAAAAAAGGGTATTTTTTGCAAAAAGAGCAAAGCAAAGAAAAAGCAAAGACCAAGAAAGTCTCCCAACTCTCCTCTTTCAGAAGGTCAGGGAAATTTGCTTTCAAAGATTAATTAGACATGCCCTGATCCTTTTTTATTATTTTTCACTACTTAAATTTAAAAATGCACTGTTACTATACAAAACTAATATTGTGTGTAATAGCTAACCACAGTTCAGAACTTTAAATGCTCTCTTGTAACAAATGCCAAGTGTTTTTAGTAATATTTTGTAACCATCCTTTAGTTCAAGGCTCTGTAGCTCCTGTCACAGTAAGTTACATCATGGAAGCATCTGTGTTTGTGTGAACCAGCACTTTGTAATTAATTTGCCACTGTTCAGTCAGTTGGATTTACCACTTAATTGGCTGAATTTTCCTGGCCATATGAAATTCTTGCTCTTGCAAGTACAGCATGTACGTGATAATGTACTGTTCTCCTTCAGTGGGTGTCAGGATCCCTCCATGCAAATCAGCCATGCTTGCTTTTCCCACTCCTCTAATGACAGCATGAAACCCCCTCCCACTACTGTTTGTCAAAATAAATCCTTGAAATGAAAGCTAGACTCTTAATGTCTGTCTACTTTTAAATGTTCTTGTATTCTCCAAACTGTTTACCAGGAGATGAACCTAATTGTATTACAATCATATTACTCAGGCACCAGCTCAAAATGGGGTGTTTGTAATTTCTCTGGGATTCAGGGAGCACCTTTGAAGAACAGGGTAACTTGTGTAGTAAAAGAAGTGTAAATTTAGCAACTTCATGCTAGGCAGTATTTTGGCAAACAGCGTTGTCTTTGAAGATCAGTAAGTAGATTGAAGGCCTATAGCAAAATAGTTACTGAACCAAATTTAATTTGCTGAAGAGTTGCCTAACAGTTCTTAATAAAGGGAAGAAAAGACAGTAAGGAAAGATTTAAAAAATCAAGGAAATTAGGATGTGTGGAGGAAATTTCTTTGGGCTGGAGTCATGCTAGTGAATATTAAAGAAACCTAAGCCTCATGAGGCTCAGTGAGGTAACCATGATAAATGATTAAAGTGGATGCTTGGCAGTACAGACTAATGAGAGCAGCCCCAGCAAACTGCTTTTACAGAGCAAGGAGAGCTGGTGCTGAGAGCCTGATGTCCTAATCTGTGTGGCCTCAGTTTCCTTCAGCCTGAGCCTTTCCAAGGGTTTCTCAGTCCTTGGACCACGCTGTGCACTCTTAGCTTTGAGGTGTAGTTTCATCCAAAAAGAATTTGGTTTGTGTCCTCCCAGCCAACTCTGCAATGTAAACAAAAGCGCTGTTAGTGAGGATTATCTTTAAAATACCCTCATGACCTGAATTAATGCACGAGTGGAGGCATGCCCATTAAGAGGGAAACAATCCCAAAGTTTTCAAACCATGAGATTGGAACCATGTGAAAGAAAAGCAGAACTTGGCAAGAGGTCTCCACAAGCCAAGGTTCCCCAGGAATAATGCCAATGAAATATTTAGGAAAAATACAAGTTTGCAGTATGCTTCACTTGGAACTGAGAAAGTTTATTCCACAAATACAGGATATAACCATTAGACAGGGATTAAGGGGTAACTTCCAGCTTGAAGGAAATGGCATAATGTCACTTCTGAAAAACAGGCAGTCATGAGTAAATAATACTAAATTTTAAAATCTTTATGTCAATAATAAAATAGTTGTCTGTCAGGCATCACTGCTGTTGTTGGCATCATCTCTATTTATGATCACACAGGTTTAAAGGTGTTACTAGGAAAAGAACTTTGCAATTTTTCTTAAAATATCACTCTGCCAGCAAAACTCTCTTTGTTTTAACCTTATCCACCAACATTTATTCGGATAAACTGAAAAGGAAAAACATTTCTAAAAATTGGTGTAATGAGGAACAAATGGAACCAATGAACCAGAAAGTGGATGTTGTTTTCAGTGATAGCAATATTCCAAGGATTTTGTTCATCATGTATTACATCATCAGTTGATTACATTAAAGCATCTTGGATCTGATTTAACATTTTTATCTGTGAGGTGATGTTGTTGGCCAGTCATTAATACTTGCTTTAGAGGAGTAAGGACTGGTGAAGGGTTTCTTTTCAAGAGTAGAATGTTTCTGCTGGGAAAGGTGGTGCTTTTCTCGTGTAATACTTGTTTTTATTCCCTCTTCACCCTCCTTTTTTGAGGTGATCTTTTACATCCTTAGGTAGTTTTCAACAGGGAGGTGTTACTCTGTTTTGAGATGCCTAGAACCTATGCATAATTGTTTTCTTAGTCCTCTGCTGAGTTTTAAATCAAGAGCAAGTTAATGGTCTAAAAATTTTTTGGCAGCAGTTTCAAAGCAGGCTAAATTGATCCATTAACTAATCCAACCC